TCTGGGTCTGAACGGACCCCACGCACGGCCAGGGGTCAGGACTCAACGATAGGGATGTCCCGCAGAGTAGGAACCCTAAATCAGCACATATGGAAGCAGCATCTCCAGACAGGACCTCACGCTCCTGGGAGCCTCTGGTCACCACGTTCCCATCCACCCGTCCACATGTAACCCTCTTTTATGCTGCTTCTGCATAAACACTTACTGAATCCAAAAACAAACAAACAAACCCAAAAACATTGTCGTAAGTCAACGGCAGAAAGGACACTCTTTGGCAGTGTGAGCTGGAAAGAGAAGACCGGGCATCCCCTTGGTCAGGCCCACCTGGGGACGTGCCCTGTGAGGGCTCCCATGGTCTGGTTCTTTGTGCATGTTGGCAAAACACCAAAACTCACCCCGAGTGTTGATTTGGGGGGTGGGGTTACAAATATAGGGTCACGAGGGCACGGATTTGCAAATTTGGGATTCGCCAACAGTGAGGATGGATTTTAGCCGCCCCGAGCCTGGAACCGAGTCTGCAGGGGGGCGTGGGGGTCGGATGGGGTCTTGGCAGGCTGCTGACAGGTGCACAGCAGAGTCTGAACAGCGGGTTCGTGAGCTCTTGGTGGAAACTGGTGTCCGCAGGCCCTTTGAGTGTGTGGTGACATCAGACCATTCCCACCCCAGGGTCTTGTCGCCGGCACAGTAAAGGGACCAACAGAACCGGGTCCATCCACACGGGGAATTAGGATTCGGCCACGAAAAGGAAGGCAATTCTGATGCCCGCTGCCCTGTGGACGGATCTAAAAATCCACTGTCTCGTGCAAGACCCGGACACACAGGACAAACACCCACGATGCCATTTACAGAAAACGTGCAGAATCAGCAAATGCACAGACAGAGAGCAGAGGCCTGGTGGCCAGCGGCCGCAGAGGGGATGGGGAGTGACCGCTCACAGGGACGGGGTCTCCTTCGTGGGGGACGTACGTGTTCCCGAAGCAGACAGAGGTGAAGGTTGCACAACACGGCTCAGCTCTGTGTTCCCTGGGCTGCGACGGACACTCTGTGCCATGTACCCTCCCAAGGGATCCATCCTGTCCCAGCTCTGGAGACCAGAAGTCTGAGATCCAGGTGGGGCAGGGATGCTGAGATCCAATGGGGCAGGGACTGCTTCCCGCCCAGAGGGTCCAGGAGAGGGTCCTTCCTGCATCTTCCAGCTTCTGGGGCTCCAGACATCCCTGGGCTGGTGGCCGTGTCTGTCCCCTCTCTGCCTCTGTCTTCAGGTGGCTTCTCCTCTGCGTGTGTGTCTCCTGTTCTGTCTCTTACGGGTACCCCCGTCCTTGGATTCAGGGCCATCCCGATCCAGGACGAGCTCATCTCAGATCGGCAACTAATCCCACCTGCTTCGTACCCACAGGCTCTAGGACCTAACGTTGGCCACGCGCCCCCACATTCAGAGCCGTGTGACCTCCTTTGTGAAACTCCATTCCCACCCATAAAGCGTGGGTCATCATGCTGGACGACAGGGTGCAGCATGGCAGCGCGGACAGATGACGGGGACGAGTAGGAAGCCCCTGGAAAGGTGTGACCATGACAGCTGCTATCACCATGTTTCCTGCTCGCTCTCATCGCGCCCCGAGATGGCTCCCAGGGAGGCCGTCGCGTGCGGTGACCGGGGACAAGCAGGCTTCATGCGGAAGCTAGCAGGAAGGCAGTGCGTCCTCGACAGGAAGGAGTTCTGGCCGGACAGACGGTCCTTCTGCCTGATGTCCATCCTTCTGCAGACCCTCTGGGTCCCCGTGACCTCAGCGACGGCCCCCGGGCTCCGACCGAAGCCAGGCCTGATCACAGCTTCCTGCACACACCCCCAATCTGCCCTCACAGTCACTCCTGGCTTTCGTCCCCGGCCACTGGACGTTGCCACAAAACCCGCTTCTGACCACGGTGATGGAAGACGAAGTCGGCCGCAGAGATTCTGACCAAGATGCCACTTTCCTACCACGCGGCCAGACTCAGAGGAGAGAGGGCTGGCACAGCGCTTTTCCTTTCTCCTGCCCTGGATGCAGATGGGATGCCCGGTGCCGTGGCAGCCACTTTGTGCCGTGAGGCAAGGATTCTCGTTTACTAAGAAGGGTGGTGGAGAAGGATAAAAAGAGACGGGCTCTTGATGACATTTTGAAGCTGTCAAACACACCCTGGAGGGCTCATCTCTAGATTTCTTATTAAGTAAAGAAAAAAATACTACTGATCTTGTGCATTTGGCCACCAGTTTTCAGGACTTGCTGCTGGAAGCATTTTTAACGAGTCATTCTTTGTGCAGAGAGGAGGGACATGCTCCTCCAGCCCTCACTGGGTGTCACACGTAGGTGTAAAGACGCCTCCCAATGCCCGAGGAGATGGGGTTCCCTGCGACCACTTAGGATCTGAGGCACAGTACCTGTGTAGAGACACTCTCAGGTTTCAGAAGTCACTGTGGGGTGTGTGATTGCCCTGGAGACGCATGAGGACATGAGTTCCCTGCCCTTCTGTTGCCAGGTCCCAGGCATTGAAACATCAGTCCCGTACAAGACACTTGAGTGCCCTACAGGATGTGGAAGGAGCTTTGTCATCCCCACTTTTTTCCCCCTGAGAGAAACTGTCACCCAGAAGGACCAGGTACTCCCAGGGACTCCATCCCAGGCACGAGAACAGGTAAACATGTCCCCCTCCAAGGACAGGTTCTCTCTGACCTCTCCTTGGCCACACTTCCCTCCTCCATATCCTTGTCCATGGCACCTTCTAGGGGCTGGAAGGCCCAGGGGCTGCTTTTGGGGGCTTGCATACTGGGGACAGGGGGACATGTGTAAGGGAATGACTCTGCTGTCCACAGGTCAGTGGAGCCACCAGTGACTGATGTGACGGCCCCTTTAGCAGGTGCAGGTGCCCAGCTGGGGCTCGGGGGTCTTGGGTAGAGCCCATAGTCCCTATAGATCTGGGACTTAATAGATCCTCTTGATAAATATCCTACTAATAAATATGACCATCCCCCAGGGGCCCGGCAGCCTGGACTGTCAACGGGCAACCGTCAATGGTGTTGTGGGAGAGATGTGCCCACACCTTCTGCAGCATCTCAGAACCACATCCTCTGTGTGGGCCAACCCTTCCACCATGAGTGTGAACATAGGAGCACCACAGTCTACAGAAGCATGATATGCGTAAGTAGATAGAAGGATGGATGGGTGGGTGGATGGATGGAGAAGTGGGTGGATGTAGTTAATAGAAACATGATAGATAGATAGATAGATAGATATGATGAATGGATAGAGAGATAGATACATAGATAAATAGATAGATACATTAGATAGATACATAGATAGATATGGCGGTTGGATGGATGGATACATAGATAGATATGATGGATGGATGGATGGATGGATGGATGGATGGATGGACGGTTGGTTGTTTGGTTGGATGAATGGATGAATGGATGGATGGTTGGATAGATGATAGATGATAGATGATAGAGAAACAGATATGATGGACGGATGGATGGATGGATGGAGAAGTGGATGGATGGATGGATGGATGGATGATGGATGGATGGATGGATGGATGATGGATGGATGGATGGATAGGATGGATGGATAGATAGAAAGATGATACATAAAAAGATATGATGGATGGATGGAAAGATGGGTAGATGCATAGATAGATGATAGAGAAGATAAATATAGATAAACATAATGGGTAATAGATGATTGATAAGTAGGTAATTCATAGATACATAGATGATGGTTGGATAAATATTGACAGATCTCGATAGATGTACAGGTAGATATTAATAGGTATAGCTAGATATTCGTAGATATCAATAGTTCCACATTATCAATTATCTATCATCTATCAGATGATAGAATTCATACGTCGATTAAGATGACAGGTACACATCGATAACCAGTTGATAGAAAATAGTTGGAGGGTACTTAGATAAAGGATGCGTAGAAATACGTGGGTTGGTGGAAAATACAGATGATGACAGATAGAGACAGTCTACACATCGTCTATCGACGGCAGATCAACACCGATAGATGGAAAGTCTATACAACACAGATAGATGGCTAACCCTGCATTTCCCCATGGGAGAGTGGCCAGGTGACATCATCCCCGGATCCCCAGAAGTGACTCACCGTCCACAGGACACAGGTGCGGGACCTCAGACCTTGGCTCTCCAGCAGCTTCCGCATTTCTCCCGCATCTCCCTTCGCCCCTGTTGTCTCGTGAAAATGTCTGCCTCTGCCCTCCAGCCCGACGCCACTGTGAATGCCCACAGCCCCCACCCCCGCCACCATGGGACGTGCGGGGAGTGAGCCAGGAGCCCCCACCCCACACCGAGGGCAGGCGTGGGCCATCCCTGCCCTGTGGCCTGGCCGTTGTGGCCACAGGACGAAAGATGTCGCAATGCACACAGCTTTAGGATGCGAAAGGAAATATGTTCTGCGAGCAATTTTTTCACTTTTTTTTTAATTAAACAAACAAACAAACAAACAACAACAACAACAAAAACAGGAATTAGCCCTCTCTGGGTGGGAGGGGGCGCTTGCTTCTCTGCCTGCTGAGTTAGGAGGACGGTCCTAGCTCCCCGCCTGCGTGCACGGGATGGCCTCCTGCAGGCGACCCTGGGCAGGGGGCAGGGTCTCCCCGAGGCCTCTTGAAAGTAGCGCCGCGGCCGGAGGCTGTGACGCAGGCACCCCACCCCATGCAGGGCTGCAGCAGGCGTCCTAGGAGTCAGGCGGCCCCACGGGCTTCGCCGTCGCTGGAGCGAGCAAGCGAGCAGACGGTTAGTTACACAGGAAATTTCAACACGAGTTTCCTCTCTCCCCACCCTGCCTCCCAACCGTGGCTGCGAGGCTCGGAGGTGGACCCTGGAGAATTTGCATTTCGCAACGGCCGGGCCATGCCCCCGTGAGACCTGCCGGAGCAGCCACAGGACAGCCGCCGTGACTCGGGCCGGCCCTCTGTGGGCACAGACGGTTCCGAGGCACATCTGACCGCCGGCCGGCTTCCAGAATGAGGACCGCTGCCTTCCGGACGCCAGGCTCCGAGACAGAGCTGCCGGCCGCCCTCTGACACTCCTGGTGAGCCCTCTGCCCGGTGCCGCATCCGTGCCTTGTCGGAAATCAGGGAGGTCCAACGGGGACAGGGTTGCAGGGGTGCAGATGTGGGCGAAAGGGGGGCTGCCCACACAGACGGGCAAACCCCCAGAGATACCTTGCAGAGGTGCCTACCAGGGAAACTCTCCTGCAAACGTTCATCCGGTAAAGGCACCCATGCCGGCCGAGCCAAACCCTGCACTGGGCGGGCGTATGGGGCCAACACCCTGACGGCCGCGGTTGGGGGGGGACAGAGGGCCGTGAGCCCCCACAGACAAGCTCACAGGTGCCAGATCATGTGCGAACACGGGGCCTTGGAGCGTGTGCCAAGCCACCCTCCAGCGGCGTCTGGGCGGAAGGGAGCGCGTGGCCCCAGCTAGAGGATCCGTCTGGATACGGTTGTCGGCACGGCGGGCGGTCAGCCTCGCTGGTAGTAAGGAGGCGGAACCCTGGGCCACGTGCTTCTGCGTGCAAAGCCAACACGGTTTCTCTGCGTCCCCGTCGTGTCTGTGCAGTGGGGACGGTCGGAGGCAGGGCCCTGGCACCGGGTGCTAAGAAACTGCATCGACCCAGGAAGAAGCCCGTGGCCGTACGGGGGACTGTGCCCACGATGCGGGACACGAGTGTCTGTTGTTTTGTCCTTGGATGTCTGCACGCTGGAGGAATGGCGGGTCATCGGGGCACGGCCGATGCCAGCCCTGGTGCAGGGAAGGGGGGTGTGTCTCCAGGACGGTGGCCCCCAAATCCTGCTGATTACATCTGGGGAGGCCGATGGGACCCAGGTCTCGGGAGGAATCCAGGGATGGATGTGGCCTCTGGATGGTGCTTGGGGAAGCATATGAGGGTCTGCTGGCCATCGGAAAGACCCCTGCTCAGCCACAGCCCAGGGACGTGCCTGCCACAGCTGGACAGTATGTAAGGCTGACCCGCGACCCCAGACCTAACCACACCCTGGGTGGTCGTGTTTAGGACAAGGGGACACGGAGAAAGGGTTAGGGTTAGGGCAGATGAGCCCTCCCGTGGACCCCCAACTGGGGTGCTGCTCTCCCATCCAGCCCCTCTGTCTGTACCTCCTCCTTGCTGTCACCACCGGCCGGCAAGCCATTGCAGCTGGGTGCTCCCTTTCACATCCCCCTTCACGTCCCTGGAGGCAGCGGAGTGGGCGGGCAGGATATGGGGAGCCTGACATGCACCTGCCGGCTCGCTCTGCAGCCCCTACTGAGGACAGGGCCCCCGGGAGGTGACCCACACCAGTCAGGGCCCCTCTCGGCTTCTCCCCGGGGCCAGCAACATCATAGGGAATCGTGAACCCGTGGCCAAGCTCAGAGAGCAGCTGCGGGGACGTCCCCGGGGCAGCACTAGGATCCCCCAGCTGTGTGTGTCTGTACCCTCGTTGGCCACATGGACAGACACGGGGGGGGGGGGGTGCCGTCTCTCCGGAGCAATGAGCAGATCCCGCAACTGTGGATGCCTTGGAGCCAAGCAGGGATCTCGGGGGTGGGAGGTGGCTGTGTTCCCAACATTCCCCTACTCCACATGGGGAACCTGAGGCGAGAAGGGGCGAAGGAGGTCACCCAAGCACACCAGACCCAGACTTTTTGCCTCCAGGGTCCTCTCCTTAACCTGCTGCCCGTCCACTAGCCTGCCATCCCATCGATCCAGACGCTGACGACGTCGTCACATGCCGGGCTCAGGGCTGTGCTTCCGGGTAGGGGCGGGGGAGAGAACTCAAAATAATTGAGATGCTGACCTGGGCTGCAGGTTGCAAAGATTTGGGGGTGGGAAGAAATCCAGGAGGGCTTCCTGGCAGAGGCGGGGCTCACCAGGTCAGTGTAGCACCAAGGATGTTGTGCCCGGGCTGTGTGTGTTCTGGGTGACAGCTGGGGACGATCCCAGGAGGCAGGTGACATGTTAGCATCCAGCCCAGAAAAGCCAAGGAAGCTTCCAGCACTGCTGGAAATTGTGGAGCTGAGCTTTGCAAAGAGATTGGGTGGGGGCCCTGGTCTGAGCACGGGGATGAGAGTCGGGAGGGCGGTGCCCACGTAGAGGGAATTTGTGGTTTGCTAGCTGGGACGGAGGGCGGCTGGACCAGAGGACAGGCCATCCCCTGTGACGCCCTAAGGCTGGCAGGCAATGAGGCATGGACTGACGTAGGACCGTGGTGTCTGTTGAAGATGGTGCCTTTGTGCAGACGCTGCTGCTGAGTGGACCCCCAGGGAGCCTCACGAATGAGTTGTGGGCCTGATGGCAGGGACCCTGGGTGACCTCGATGATGTTTATGGGGGGACCCCTGACAGAGAGAGGGGCTGAAGGAAGACGGGGGCAAAGGAAGGGTGTCTTGGGACAGAACCGAGTGTCAGGTATGCAGGGCGAAGGCACAGTCTCTCTGCTATGGCACAGGCATTGGGTGGAACCTGCAGTCTGCCCCCACCAGATGCCAATCCCATTTCTTCCCCCAAAAGTTGGAATGTCCAGAAATGTTCCCTGGGGGGACGGGCAAAGTCATGGCTGTTTGTGAAGCAGTGTGATAGATGATGGAGGGATGGATGGATGGATAGATAGACAGACAGACAGACAACAGATAGATAGGGTTGAACAGATGATAAATTGGATGGATGGATGATGGATGAATAGGTAGAAAGATAGGAAGATAGATGATAGATGATAGATTGACAGACTGACAGGTAGATATGGATGGACAGATGGATATATAGATGGACAGATAGATGAATGAGAGATAATAGATAGATGGTGATAGATAGATACATAGATATGGATGGATAGGTGGATGGATGGATGGATGGATAGATAGAGGAAGAGTGGATAGATGATAGATATAGACAGATGATAGAGATAGATAGATAGATAGATAGATATGGATGGATGGATAGATTGAAGGAAGAATGGATAGAAGATAGATAGATAGATAGATAGATGATAGATATAGATACTTAGATAGACAGAGTCTCTCATGTAGACCAAGGTGTCTCTGCCTCAGCACTGCTGACATCTGTGGCTGGATCCCTCCTCTGATGTGGGATACCCTAGGAACTACAGAGTGCTCAGTGTCTCTGGTCTTTGCCCACCCGATATCAGGAGTATCCCCACAAGCTATGGCACCCCAAACTGTCTCCAGACATCATCAAGTGTCTTCTATGGGGCAGAATCAACCCCAATTCAGAACTGCCAAGGGAGAGGATGAGAAAGAACAAGGGACAACACCGCCAGAGGCCTGGGAGGAACAGCAAGACCATGTCACATTCTCTGGGTCTCAGGGAGAGGACTAGGCGGGGCCAGGGTGCTCGGGGACACTTTCTCCCATTTCTTAATGTTCTGCCTCATGTTTTCGTTTCTGTGATGAAATTATAGGGGTGATAGGGCACAGAGCTCATTACAGAATAAGCAGACGCAGGCCACATCCAGGGAGAAATGAGCCAAGGTTTACTCTGCTCTGTTCCCACAGGAAGGTCCCTATCCTATAGCACAAGATGATCTGACCAAGAACAAAATCCTGGCTTGAACTAGTGGCATTTTTACTAATAAAGCAGTAACAATAGGAAAACTTTTGTAATATTCTGCCTCACATAGAGAACAGGGAAAGTATGTGGGTTAGGGAGCCTGGCTTCTGGCCAGCCTGGTCACTCACTGTCTTGGATGTGTCCCATCCACCAGGAGGTGCTGTCTCCTCCAAGTGCGCTGCAGTTGGAGGCATGGAGTCTCCATGTATGTGTTGGTGGGGGAAGGGAATGGAGCAAGGCCACCCCTGCACTCAGGACAGGGACAGACCAGCAGGCACACATGTGGGATGGGATGGGAGAGAACCCAGTAGTCATGGCCATAGGCAATCAATGCATAGGGTGAGTGCATATGCTGCGGCTTTGTAGATGACCCCAGAAAAAATCGCCATGAGTTTGGTAATTGATGGATGAGTTAGTCACGGATGGATGGATAGAAGGATAAAGGCGTGGGTACATGGGTAGGAGGATGGATGGTTGATGGATGAATGAATGGATGGATGGATGGATGCGTGGTTGCATGGTGGGTGAGTAGGTAGATGGATGCATCGTGGGTGGATGGATGGATGGAAAGGTGCATTGATGGTTGAGTGAGTAAATAACTGGAAGGATGAAAGTTTGGATAGATAGATACATGAGAGATAGATGGATGATAAGTAGACAGATAGATGATAGGATGGATAATGGATGGATGAATGGATGGATGGATGGAAAGGAGAAAGGGTGTGTGGGTGCAAGGATGGATAGATAGATGATAGGTAGATAGATAGATGGACGGATGAAAGGATGGGTGAGTTGGTGGATGGATGGATGGATGAGTAGATGGATGGATGCATGGATGCATGGAGGAAATGGAAGGTGCTGTACACATGGACCAATAAAACAAGAAGAGAGGCAGGTTGCCCATCCATCCCTCCAGATCTGTTCCTTAGGGCAGCCATAACCAGTGACCACAACTGGTGGCAAGGATGTGGGAGATGCAATGGAGCTACGCAGAGGCGGTGATTGCATACCATGGTGAATGCGCCCAAGGCCACTGCCGTGTTCACCTTAAAATGGTGAATTGTGCGTCAGTGTAAAGCAGAGAGAGTGGAAACAAACGGCCATCCGATGCCCGTGCTCTTACTTCCTCACCCCGGGCTATAAACACTGTCTGCAGGACACGTTGCCAGTGAGCCGGGTGTCACAGATTCTGAGTCACAGTCACAGGAAGCCGCTGAAGGGCGTTCCTGAAACCCCACCACAAGATGCCCGTCCCAAGCAAGGGCTGGTTGGTTTCCTTCCTTGAGCACGACTCCCTCCTAAGGAAACACGGCCATCCCCACTTGTAAACAGGCATACAAACAGCAGACAAGCTGAGCTGTCGCCTGCGGGGCCGTGCACAGCCTGGCGTGTGCAGCCTCCTGTGTGCAGAGCGTCCTCCCGGCCGTGGCTTTGATTTCCAGCTCACACCAGCACCACGGTGACCTC